ATGCACTGGCGGCATTATAACCGTTTAGAAAAAGGAATAATAATAAAATGACACTAGTTCACTTCTGAAACTGCTTTTTAATGTCCAAGTAATGATAATTATTGCGTATGGTGTTATTGCATTCACCCCACCCATGATGGAATTATACCAGGTGAAGTAATATTAGAGTGAGAAGAAAGATTTTGACACTGCTTTATTTGGAAGTTTGCCTATAAATTGTGACTATAAGGCAGCCGAATGTTAGAAAATAAAGCGAGAAAGCTGTTTAATTACTTCACCTGTTTATTACGCCCTTTATAACACCCGTCGCTTGTTCCGAGTATACGTTCAAATTTAGTCTGAGAGTAGGTAAAATTTTACATATTTTTACATCACTACTTCTAACCATATGTTCGCTTCGTCTTCGTAAACGAAATGCACTGGTCGGATATAGCAAGTGATGATAATGCAGAACTTTTAACTGAAGATAAAACTCAAAACAATATTCTCTGTGTTATACATATGCTGCGAACAGGAACGGCAACTTTTGTTTGTTCCATGCCATGGCGGAATTATACCAGGTGAAGTAAGTAGAGCGAGAAGAAAGATTTTGACACTGCCTTATATGAAAAATTGCCTTTAAATTTTGCCTATATGGCAGCCAAATGTGAGCAGAAAAAGCGAGAAAGCTGTTTTATTACTTCACCTGTTTATTGCGCCATGGTTCCATGCAAAGATTTTAAGGTTTTCAAGCAATATTTTCAACATATTAAAAAGCATGCTGACAAAATTAATGCAAAAGCGCTATGTCCAATTTGCCGAGCAGTTATTAAAGACGACGCTTTCCCTATATTTAGATAGACTTTTCACAAGTAAAAATATTTGTTTAATTGTATTTTGGAATAAACAAGGTTCTTTTTCCTTCTGTCAGTAAACTGTTTTTGTTACAAACAGTATAAATAAGCAATGGCAAATAAGGCAAAACTCAGATTTTGGTATTATTTCCCATTTAAAAGTGAAATAAACCAAATTTTGCGTCATTGCCGTTTGTGTTATTTCACGCCAGAAAGGATAGCCCTATACAAAGGTTTTTCTTTGATCACTTCGTAATCGGAAAGGATGCCTTCGACATTATGTATCCATGTAACATATTTAACTGGATTTCCCTCAAAAATTTGCAGCTCTTTGACACAGTCGTTGAGCCACATTATTTGATTATTCTACACTGTCTAGCCTCCCGTCAATGCTGGTAAAGTTTTGATCTAGGATTGCGCTGCTTGATTCTATTCGTGCTAATCGAGCTTCCAATCCTAGCCCACTTTTTTCAGTTCCCGTTAGACGTTTTTTTTTTCAAATATGCCCGTTTTTTTTATAAATTTTTTTTTTTTTGCTGCAATTTGCAACTTTTATACGGGTAATGTCAGCAAGAATAGTATTTTTTGTTTTGCACGGTTACTAATTTCTGTTTGTTTCGGATATTTGTCCTCGTACTGTGGATGTATTTACTTATGTGCAATCAGTTTTTTGTTAAAAAAAAAAATCTGTCTCAATTTGAGTTGGAGGTTGGTTTCTTTCTTACGATTTCAGAGTTACCTGCAAAACAAAGTTAAGAAAGGAGCTGCGATTAGATTTGTGAAACCTTTACCATGTTGTTATGTATACGGCGTTAGAGTTTCGGTAAGGATGGGCTGTGTCATCCTTTTTGGTCGCCAACAATCACATTGAAGGCAACCTAAGCCACAACTTACTTAACAACATAATCTTGTACCTATTGCCATTTCCAGTGTATTTTTATGTGTATGCCGGAAATGCCGCAGAAATCGAAGTAGCAGTTTCCAGTGTGTTCTGCTGTATACCCAAGGCTGTATAAACAAGGTATTTTAACCAATTAGCCTTCGATGTGGTGAGTATATACCTAGGAGTATAGGGTCAGGGACTCACCCAGCCATGTGATTGTGTCAGGATATTCAGTATTGTAACTGAGGAGTCGTAGACGGTATCAATTTATTTTAATTTTCACTTTGAATACTATTTATTAGTGTACCCTGGGGTCTTCGGAGTCACAGGCCCACTTATTATCATTGAATTTCTGGTTCGGTCGCTAAGGACACGCAGGATTGGACGTAGTAATTTATAACTTTAGCCTGAGGTTCATTCGGGGTCACAGGTCTAAGCGACAATTTGTCACTCGGCTATTAGAGCCTTTAATTTCTTTCAATATTAGATTTTTTATTGTTTTCCTCAAATTTACCTCTCCTAGGAAGAGGAGCTTTTATACTCTGGAGGGTCCCGAAAGCAATCGCTGAATTAAACCCGAAGGATCCCCCGAAGGTGGTAAATCGCGGCTTCAAGGATACTGAGTTATTTGGATGGACGATCCATAAATTATTTAGTTCACTATTTGATTTTCATTAACTTCTTTGGTTTCACCCCTTATACCCTGGAGCGCCCCTGGACTTATGGATCGCAGAGTTAAGCTAATGTTTTAAACCGGTGGACACCCAAAGGTAGTCAACGGTTTCAAAATATTTTGTTATGTGGATCTACAAGCCATACATTTTATATGCACCTTCACATTCAATACTTCAACTTATCACAACACTGTTCATCACTTGTCACGACCACTTGAAAAGGACTCTCGTAGTTAAGAGGATCCTTTTCACAAGACCCCACAATTAAGAAGGCCCTTGCTCAGAGACCCACACTGCTCGAGCGCCAGTCATCGATCTCACATCCGTCAACTCGAAAAAGTTAAAGTTGGGGGCCGCACAGCGGCCCCGGGAAGTTATTGGTAATATAAAAGATAAGAGTTAGCTTTGTACAAGTATATTTACCATCTGCTCTCGCTGTCCAAAATTGAATGCTATTTCTTATTACTATGACTTACTGTCTAACCGGCTGAATTAACTGCTGACGCTGCGCTTCCCATAGATTCAATTATGCTAACGCATGTTCGATTGCTTTTGCATGCGAGTTCAATTACCCGCACAGGTTATGCGCGTATTAGGGGAAGTGCGGCGTCAGCACCAGTGCTGCCGCGAATTATTTTAAGTGGTAGCCAAATTCCTTTTAAAAAAGGACTAAAAGGAGCTAAAGAAAAATTCGTTGTGGCTAAAAATGGTAGCTAAATTTTTTTACTTACATATACACATGTATATACAAAAGGGCAAATACACGACACAAGCTTGCAGGCACCACCAAGTGATTGTACCATCGGGCTCGAAGCATATAGCATACCAGCTTGCTGGTACTATATTTATTTCTTTACAAATGAGGTTCCAAAAAGACCGAAATGATTAGAGCCGAAATCGCATAATTTTTCCACAAACACGGCTTTGACTCATATAGTGCAAGAAATTTTCGGTAAAATACTTAAAAAAGAGCTAATTTTACCATTCGCGATACCAGAATGCTGGTACAATCATAAAATTTTGAAATCGTTTTTGATGTCGCACCAGCAGCAGGTACAATCACACCACAAGGACATACACGGGCAATCGGCTGGCACCAACACTTGAAGGCGCCAGCATGATGGTATCAACCATGGGGCCTTTAACACAAAAAGCTATTCGGAGCTGTAAACTTATCTATTTTAAAGTAAAGTTAAATCCTTAATAGATAAGTTAACGACCCTAACACTTTTATAGTTTGCATAAAAACGTAAGGAAAATACAATATTTCTTTCTTTATTTATTTATTTATTTATTTATTTATTTATTTGTTACAGTCTTACGACCTTATAATACAACTATGATATTCGTACATATGTATATGAATTTTAATGTTCTTATTGTAAATTATGTATACAATAACTATATATATTATATTACATATGTCTATAATAAATATTCGCAAAGATTAAGCAAAAAAGCAAGAAAGTCCGTATCCCTTTCAGGAAGTTACCAGCGGTCAGTGGGCTAGACTTTTAAGTAATGTGTCACATAACAGCATTATCTTTTTTATTATAGATAATATTAGAGGAGAGTTAAGTGTTTTATAAAGACAGTATAATAGCAATCCCTGCTCAAGGCATGTCTGCCAGACAACACGCAGGAATTTTTTTTTTTAATTTGCGAATTTCATTATATCCATATTTAATTGATTTAAGAGAACATCTACATTTTCTTTTTTCAAAAAAGCTCTTCAAAATATTGCAGAAGCATAAATTGTTGTTCTTATGTCACTTTTCTGTTGCAGTTTTCCATTTTTCCGTTTAATTACAAAGTTTTTTCTATATAGTTCAGTAGTTTAACCGATTAACAAGATGAAAATTAGCTGTGATTTGTTGATAAATTTTTTTAGCAGCAATTATTGCTAGTCGCCAATTTCTAACTAGTTTAAGCGAAAAATCGAGATTTATAGCCATGCAAAATACGCTGGAATCGCAATTTTAGCTACGTTAGCTGTCAAAACAGTTCACTCACTTTATCCGGTTCATTTTGTTCATCGCTAAAATCTGCCCTAAAATGAATCAAAAATGGAGATTTTTAAGGATGCCTTTTTAAGATAGAATCTCGAAATTCGCTAAAAATTGCTAAAATTCATTTAGCATTTTTGGGCGATGGATTTTTAGCTATAGCGAAAGTTGGAATCCGGCTGCTGTTCTGACCAGAATATTAGAGGTACCACTGATCACACAGCTAACAATATGGCAGATATACTTAAAATGATTTTATATGAATGGGATATAACTAAAAAAGTGATTGCAATAGTTACTGACAACGATGCTACAATCAAAAGAGCGTGTGATTTAGAACTCAGAAATTTTCCGTGCTTTGCACATACAATAAATCTTTTAGTTCAAGAAATTCTTCGACTTCCTAGCTTTACCGACGTGTTTTCTAAATGTAAGCGAATTGTGGATTTCTTTAAGTCGAGTAGTGTGGCCAATGAAAAACTGAAACAGTCCCAAACGACTGAAACAGTTTATGGACTTATACAAGAAGTCCCAACTCGATGGAATAGTTCATATTTAATGATGAAACGTATTTTACTTTTATCCGAACCTTTATCCTCTATAGTACTCACAACTCAAAAAGCCCCTTAACCCTTGAATGCCGATGAAATTGAAGTATTACAAGAAATGTCGAGAATTCTTTCCCTTTTTTACGATGCAACTTTACAAACATCCGGAAGCAAATATGCGACCATTCGTTTATTATTCCACTAATATACGAACTACAACAAAACTTACGAAGAATGAGCCGTGAACTAAAAAAGGCTGCCAGTACGGTTTTCAACATACGAAAACAGAACGGTTTCAAGGATAGCAACAATTATAGATCGCAGATTCAAAAAAGATGCTTTTAACGGCTCATCCAATGCTGACCAATCTGTCAAAGCGCTAGAGCAGGAAATACACGCCACAATAGCCAAAAATTCGCATCAACTTCTAACTCCACCGCATACTCCAATAGACGATTCATCGAAATCAAAATTTTCCTTTCTGATGTCAAAAATTTTAAGTAAACCAAAAACCAGCAGAGCAGATGCAATAATCATTTTAAGGCAATATTTGGAAAAATGTTATCTGCCAGAGCACGAGGATCCACTCATCTACTGGAAGGTATTGTTTGTGTTGTAATAAATGTAACAGAAAATACATAATTTACTGATATTTTCTTTTTTTTTTAGATGAACACTGATGATGACATGAGCCCACTAAAAGAAGTGGCAAAAAAATGTTTATGTATTCCGGCAACGTTGACAGACGCTGCTCCCTGAAAACGAAGATTTTAGATCGTTTATATTCCTCAGCAAAAATATTAATAATTTTTAAAATACTTCAAAAACGTGCCTTATTTATATACATATAAGTAATTTTTGATATCGAGCTCTTGAAGGGACAAAATCACTATAAATAATTTGTTGTATTCAAATTAATTACTCATGCATCAGAAAAAATCTTAATAATTTTTAAAATACTTCAAAAACGTACCTTATTTATACATAAGTAATTTTTGATATCGAGCCCTTGAAGGGACAAAGCATTATAATTTATTATATTCGATTTAAATATATAAAAAAAAACTCGGTATTGTTATAAGCATTTTTTATTTGATAGAATTTATTCCCAAGCAAAAATTTACAAAGGAAAAAGCTAAATAGCCTAATTCTCAAATTAAAAAAAAAACATCGATGTTTCAAAGCTACTAGTGAACAATAATACTGTTATATTTCGAATCTTAAAAACAGCAATGGAAATGGAAGAACTAAAGATTAAATTTTAATGACTAAATATATTTGTGCAATCTCAGTTCAAAGAACTGACCTCATCTAATGATTTTTTTTTATTCACTAA